AATCAAGACTGCGGCTCACAGGGGCTCATCTCACACCCGGAGTCTAGGGCACGTCAGGCACTGTGATTAATAAGAGGCTTTCCTGCCTCAAAAGCACTATCGTGGCAGTCCTCCCGATCATCAAGAAATCATGATAACAGACGACTATCTCCTCCCAATCGAATTTTTACAGAGGTCTGCGTTTCTTCAGAGCATTCGAAAAGAGGCGTGGAGCATTCCGGAAAGCCAGGGGACCTGGGGGGCAGCAAGCAGTTCCTTATTTCTGTGGAAGATGCCGTGCGGGGAAGCCTGTACCTGGTGCATCTCATCCCCCCCCACACACACCCTGTGCAGCCACCACACACTGCGTCCCCAGGCGGCGTCACCGGCTCATCAGGGCCCCTCTGCCTGCCGCTGGCTGCCTGCTGCACACAGCACGGCCAGGCGCAGAGGCTGCGTTCCCCCCAATGCTGCCTCCATTTCCTGTGCTGTGAAAACACTCCTTTTTCCTCCTTTTTCTTCCAAAATGAGGAAGTCAGTGAAACAGCAGCCACTTCACGGCGCATTCAATTTTCAACAATCCATTCTCTTTTTCTCACCAAAAGCGTGGCGGTGACGCTTCTGGACAAATGAAATATAGATTGAGAGCTTCCTCTCCTTGCTTATGCTCATTTCCTTCAATCCGTCAAAATCAGAAAGACGAGCTTTGCAGCACAGACCCTCTAGAGATGAAATTCTGGTCTGCCTTGCGTGAAATTCAGGCTCTCTCTCCGTCTGTGGGATAAAGTCTTTGCTCCTTAGCACAATTTCTAATCCTGTCACACGGTGGTCCTGACCCATCTCCTCCCCTCTCTCTGCCTACCATCCTCCCGCCCCCCTCCTCCCCCTTGCCTTGGCTCATGCTTACACATAACTGGGTTTCATACACTTGTGTTCCCTGTGGGTTTGCACGTGCCCTTCCTCCCACCTGGAGAGCCCTTCCCCACATTTTGCTGAGAAAACTCAACCACATCCCTCAAGACCCGCTCTCTAAAACCCTCTCCATTCCCCTCACTCTGATAAGAGCTACCATTTACCTAAACACCATTGGTTCTCAACCTGCACATGAGGATCACCTGAGAGCTCCCTAAAAAGACATAGTCCTGGGGCCGGCTGAGTGGCGCGATGGTTAAGAACTGGCTTGGGACGCCAGAGAGCCCTGGTTTGGATCCTACATATGAGGGCCAGTGACACTGCCCTCTACAGCTAAGATGCTGAACAACAGCTCAACCTGGAGCTGGGCTGCTGTGAGTCG